AAAAAAAAAAAGATATGGGATAAAAATGAGAAGATAAATAACAAAACAAAAGTCCACAACATTTATTACAGACCCAAAAAGAGGCCCGCACCCCGCGAAGAGGTCATCAACAACAACAACAGAAAATAGGACCCATCTCCTCTCCGAAACAAAAGATCGCAATCACACACGTCATAACGGTCCATGCGTATTAGGTCACACACCGCCGCTTCGCTGCCGTCAACGGCGGCAGCCGCACGAGGCCGGTGCGCCAGAGCGAGAATGGTGCCGCCGCACGCGTCACATGACGACGGTGGCGCGGCTGCACAATAAGTGCCCCAGTGCCCATGCCATCACCACNCGAGAATGGTGCCGCCGCACGCGTCACATGACGACGGTGGCGCGGCTGCACAATAAGTGCCCCAGTGCCCATGCCATCACCACCACCATTCTCCTCCACTGCGTCTTGCTCCGCTTCTTCCGTGCCGTCCTCTTTCTCCCCATATTCTTGACTCTCCGCCTGCACGTTCTCTGTGCCGTTGTCGTTGCTCACCCCGACGCGTCGGGCGAAGCTCGACTTCGGAATCGGCCCCGGGTCGGTGGCGAATGCCAGCAGCGGCAGGCTGCTGAGCGTCCCGCTCATCGTGGAGGAGAAAATGTGCTCGTTGACTGCCGCCACCGCCGCCGCGTCTTCATCCGCATCCTTCGTCTGCAGCCATGTTCGTGGCGCGTGGGTGTGCTGTCGCCGACCCCGCGTGCAGGTGGGCAGCATGTCCTGCGCGCCCCTCCGCTCCATGTATGTTACAAACTTCGTCCACAACTCAGGCGTTGTGCTGTCGGACATGAGGAGGTACGGTCGCAGCCCAAAGCGACGCCTGCCAGAGGCCTCATCCACCTCGCGCCCCGTTGCCAGCGACCCCAGCGGAACACCGTCTGCCGACCAGAGAGAGGCCTGGAGGTCGCCAGTGGCTGTCAGCATCACCGGTAGCTGTAGTGTTGGGTGACTGGCGGCGCCGAAGAAGATGATCTCACGTTGGGGCACGCGCCACGAGGAGATCAACACTGGCCCAGCCCCATAGATGACGTTGGTGCACTGTGCAACCGCGCTGGTCATGTCCCACAACCCCACCATCCCTTCCTCATCGGCGGTCACCAGCACATCATACTGCTCCAGGTAGACGAGGATGACTGCAGTAGATGAGACCGCGTCCAGCGAGAATTTTCCAGCCTCGTTTCGAGACGCCTCACACTTCTGCCTATGGGACAGCATCCGCTGCCGTTTATGTGGATAATTAGAGCGATGATAAAAATCCACAGATGGCCGACCGCGGCCCTGCGAGCGTCGACGCCCACTGCTCTGCCGTCGTGGTGCCTGCGTTCTTGCCCAGCTGTCTGGCCTGCGCGGCAACCAACTGCCCAGCACTTCGCACCGCAGCGGCGAAACGCCGCCGCCACCCCTCCTGGGGAGGTCCCGCCGCAGCGCCGCAACATGCAGGCGACCCGCAACATCAGCAAAGATGAGCATGCTGCTGCTCAAAAAGTCTGATGTGGGCTCCTTGCCATGACTCTTTCCCAACATGATGGCGGGTCTCGCGATGATGGCCTCCACCACAGTCGACATGCAGAACGTGTGTGAAAGCGCAACCGTGTCCTGGAAGCTCACAACGTACACACGCGCATGCGAAGTCGCCACGAGTAGATGATCCTCTGTGATGGCTGTTGCTTTGATGGCCTCAGTTGGCTGCATAAATCCTTTCAGTAAGCCAGCGAACTGGAACACCTCTTCTGGGCTACATTCTGGTTTGAACGGAACCAGAAACACAGAGAACTGCGACACCACAAAAACACATGGTGTGCCTGCGTTGCGGTACCGCATAACAACGTGAAGTGACGCAATCTCCGTGTTACGAACGTAGTTTCGCAGAGTGGGCGTCAGATCCACTGTTGGGTTCAACATCACAACAGAAAAAGCCTTGACCTCACCACCCATGGTCCCTACAAGCAGCTGCCGATTGAGCGGCTCGACGATGCAGCACGTGGTGATGTCATATTTTGTCATGTTCGGGTCACTGCTAGCGGACAGCATGCCTGTGGTGCTGGACCAAAGTTTGGCACAGTTGTCGTGCACAGTAAGAAGATAATCCGGGTTTGGGTAGAATACAAAGCGACAGCTGTGATGATCATCGACAAGGTCAGGGCGTGTGCCCATATCAGCCGTAAGGACAAGCAGCTCTCTTGTCGTTGAGACTGTTAACTTTCCGAGTGCTTCAATGTGACAGATGGAGTGTATAGGGGCAGAGAGGTATCCGCTCACACCATCCTCCAACTCTGGCAGCTCGTCGCCGCGTGCAGTGGAGGAAAAATTGCTGCCTTTAAAAGTCTGCAGACACGAGCCCATCCGCAGATCCCAGAACTTCACAATGCCGTGCGTGTCGCCAGACACCAAAAACGGGGCGCCTTCGAGACGACGTAATGCGGTGACGCGGCCTTTGTGCGGAAGCGAAGTGTCGTAGAGGTGCATTGGGGGCGAACGCGGCAACACCAGTGGCCGCTGCACGATACTTTGCTCCAATCCTGCCGAGAATAAGAATTGCTCGTCTGTCTCCAGCACCATTACGCCACCCGCGCTGTGATCATCAAGAGCGAACCGCACAATGTTACGCTCCAGGTCGAGACACTTGATAGACTGATGGGCCTCCAGGCTCGCTGCGTAGAGCAGGTGACCATGGCCTCGCATTGCGGTGATCGTCTCCTGGAACAGTCGCTTCCTTGACGCCATCACCTGCTGCCTCATATCCCACAAGGTAACTTGACCGGTGCGACTGCCCATCACTAGACGGTTCAGAGGCGCCATCCACTGCAGTGAACTCTGGCTCTCTGGGATACGCATGTACTTGCACTCCTCTAGGGATCGAACATAACGGCTCGCCTTTTTGATGCCGAACCAACGAATGAAGCCACCATTGTAGGAACACACAATGCTGTTAGAGTACGGTTCCCCCACTGTATGCGGGACGAGATCCCACGCAAGAAGAGGACTAGGATCGGGCCGAATGACACCGAATGAGGGCAGGTTTTGCACAATATCACAGAGTTCCATTGTACTGCGACCACCGCTGTCTGTGATAACTTTCATCACCTTGCCAATAGCACGAAGCACCCGCACCTCTGTCACCTGCAAGGTGTGACTATTTGGCAGAAGCTGCTCCAGGTGAAATGGGCGGAAGGACACATCTTCCTGTCGTGTGGTTGCCACCCCGTATAATTTCTGCCGCGTTGACTCAATAGCGTACATTGAGAAAGCATCCCATGAAATGCGGCCCTGCCCAAGCACATCGATCTTGGCGAACAGTTTACGAAACTGCGCATCAGTATGGAGAGTGGGGATGTTGTGGTCAGCGTACACGCGCGCCACTAAATTAACAAACTCCTCTTCCGCTAGTCCGCCTTGAAGATCATGAAGGGCGAAGTTGTGCCTGAGGGCGTCCAGGCCTGTTGCGGAAAGATTCTTTAGAACCTCCATAAATATATATTATGTGCACATATATATTTATACCCAGCGTCACCACCAGCCCTAGATGCTGTAGGAGAGAATGAAAGAAAATGCAGAGACTAAATAATTGGCCGGAAGCCTTCACAAGAGCACAGCCCATAATAACGTAAAGGAGTGATGCCGCACTCCAGGAAAAAAAAAAGGTTGACTGGGTGAATTTGTACGTGTGCGTATGTGTATGACAAAAATAAAATAAAATCAAGAAAAACGATACTAACTGCTCAACCACCATTTAACACGCGGGGCATTACTCCCACTTTCACCTGCATTATCACCCAAACAACATCCTGAAGAGTGCATAGGCCATCCAGAAGGTCAACAGCCCCATGACGGCCATCACCAGTGCGGCCTCCCTATACCCCACCACCTCCACCACCTCCTCACTCTCAACAGCGTAGCCGAGCTGGCGCAGCTTGTGGTCCATGTACACTACATGATACACACCCCATGGACACACCGTTCGCGTACTGTCAGCGTATGTGTCGATGCGTTCCATAGCGCGTCGCGCCCTTGGATCCACCGGCGGGTCCGCACCATCCAGCACCATCTGGTATGCCATACGAGACTCCACTGGGTCGCGCTGGATAATGCCGTCAAATTTACTACCATCCACCGCCACAGGTCTGAGACCCACAAAGGGAAATACACGCTTCAGAAACTGTTGCTGCCTGGCCAAGCGTGACCCCGCTTGAAACGGCAGCCTACCGTCTTCACAAAGTATTGTATCGAACTTCTGTGCGAGGTGGTCACCATCAAGAACACGCCGGAAATAGTGTGGGGCCGCTATGTTTGGGATGGGATACAACGTCACTTCCTTGTGCGTTTCAGGGTGTTTGAACCTTCGGATAATGCAGACAAGTCCTGGTGGATTTTGACGCATTTCCATGATGCCCTTCGTCATCAGCATGGCAGACTTCCCCTTGACGCTGTCCATTTCCTTTTACCGCAGGTAACCACTTGAAACCGATATCCCCTTTAGAAAGAGAAAGAAAGGAAAACTACACCGGAAAACACAGGAATCACCAACAGAATAGAACACCACATCACCGCAAACCCCTTTCGCACTTTTGCTCATCATTCATTCAGTGTTTAATGCGATACCCACCATCCCTCACTCCCGTTTCTTGTTCCCACAGACACACGTCAGTGCACCCGCGTACACGTAAAGAAGAGAGGGTCGCCCAGATGGTACGGAAGCGCCAAAAGGGGCGTTTCGGTATCGATGCCATCAGCACGCCGCACGGGGAACACAAATGACTCACCACTGACAACTTGCCGAAACCCCACGTTGGCAAGCACGCAAAGCGTTGCAGTCCCCCCACTACCAACAGAACCTGCAAGCAGCTTTACGACATAGGTAGCTGTGGAGGCAACATCTGACCGCGTAACGATCGTTTGAGGCTGCAACTCGTTTTCGTTGAGAGAGCCTCTCACTTCCGACCCGGATTGACGCTCCGCGAACACTCGATCGACGTCACTCCGAACGGCGTCCAGCAGTGTCTTCGCCGCTTCAGCCGTCGTGGTGTCGCTCCACAACGTCAGCACCGCTGTGGGGTGAGCAGCGTCTGCTGCCGTCGCGGTCACTGACAGTGCCACCTTGGCGATGCCCACTGACGGCACCTGCAGCACCGCGCTGCACAGTTCGCTCTGTGTGGCGATATCGTCAGAGGCAAAGCGGAACGCCCGAACGGCGGTTGGACACTCGCGACTCCGCTGCACGCCACCGTCCACTTCGCTACGCCGGCGCTTAGCGGGCGGGGGCAGCAGCGAAATGCCACCACCGCGCTGAAACATGAGCGGGCCCCACTTACAGACGAAGAAGACATACCAAGAGGAGAACGGGTCACACGGCGGTGAAGTAGAGGGAGCAAAAGCACAACAGCCAAAGACCAACACCCAATCCATTCCGCTAAGAAACGGTGTCATGCGTGTGTATTGTCAAGAGTAGGGGGATCCAGAGACGTGCACCGGCGCAAAAGCAGATGCAGCGCACATGTTAGATTGCTTCTCGGACCAAAAAACTTATGCCCATGTCGCCTGGTTGAATCCAGTTTAAGAAATCTTGCCATTCCTGCCCGTGTTGCAGCACCGTCATTTCCCGCTCCTTCCCGCTGCACCTCCTTCGCTCATTTGAACACAAAAGCAAACTCTCCAGTCACACAGGTACCGGCGGGCAAATTCACGACGCTGCGGTTACGGTCTTTTGCGTGGGAAGCATTCAGCAGCTCGTTGCTGTACTTGGCCGGGACGCCCCTTGCGTTCGCAACGGTGATGTGCGGGCGGGCATTGGCGCAGGGGAATTCCCCCTCGTTGCGCACAACAATGGCTGTTCCCTTCGGGTCTGACACGACTTGTGTGAGCGTCAGTTGGATGGACGTGCCGAGCAGCTCTCCCAGGCGCACCATCATGGCCTTGTCGGGGCAGACGCCGTTATGGAGGAATATTGTAGTCACATGGAACTTTGACTGGACCACTTTGCCGGCCACCATCTCCGGTGGCACCAGCGCGAGAATGGCCTCCGGCGACGTCAACTGGATCGCGCCGTACAACACAGGGCGGGGCAAACGGCGCAGAAGCGACTCATACGCGTCCGACACAGAAACAGCCGCCGCCACGTCCGGAGGTTTATGATGGTCTTTGACGGCACTTCCTTTTGGGGGCATTCTTCCTTCTGATATTCGTCTTCACTGGTGCCTTGTGCTTGTACTTGGTGAAATTACAAGTCTATAAACCGACAGTTGTGCAGGAGGAACAACACAGCTGCTTCACCAAGTGGACACTAAGGTCAGAAGTACGGTAGAACCATGCCATTCTATTACCATAGCGGCATGGCACGTTCTATCAATTGGGTATCGGTGCAGACCCGGCGCGTTCTTTTGGGCCACGTTTCTGCAAACGCCACAATCCGCCCAGGCCACCAGAGCCGATGTGTGCCTGGGCATCGAAGGGGGGACGGAAGGAAGGAAGGAAGAAGGAGAGGGGCTAGTTGGTCAGTTGCCAGTAGTCAAAGCGTCGGTTTTCGGCTCATGGGGGTCGGTATTGCAGAACACATAAGTGACATCACGCACGGGAGGACGAGGGGTGCAGCAGCAGTCAGACACGGGGG